GGCTATAAGGGGAGAAGGGTAAATTTTTTTTTATAAAAAAAAAAAAAAAAAAAGGCTATTAGAATTCAAAGCATCTACTTTTGGTTTTAGGTTGAAAGTAGTCAAAATAGAACTGTTTTTAAGTTTCATACTTGTCTGTCTTTATTTCTGCAGAGATGTTCATTAGCAGTCTAGATCTGACTAAACTGTATGATCTGATCTCCAGCAGCCCTCTACAGGAGGCTTTTCAAACTGGTGAGTGGCCCACATTTGTGTACTTCATCTAATGAACTTTTACTTTTGTTAACTCACAGGTTTGTTTATGTTTCTGCATTCTGGATAGTGAAAAATCTCAAAAAGGAGACATATTTCCTTGAATTTGCGGCACTGCTAATTCAGAGYACGATGGAAGAAGGTCACCTAGACCTCACCCTAAACTGGGGAGAAACTGTGTTTAAGCTGCTCTCCAGGTATTTTGTTATCAAATGTCATCACTGATATTTGTGAAATAAACAAAATGTGAAGAATTTTGTTTTAAATAATTATTAATTTCATTATTTTATTTCAGATGAATCATGTTGTTCCTCCCCCAAATTAATACAATAACTGTCATTTGAATGACGTCATTAACCGTGCTGTTCTTAATTTAAAAATGTGTATGTTTGGCAGTAAATACATGTTTTTTTTTCTTTATCAGACGGGATAAAAAAACATGTTTAGAGGGAAACAACAAAAGTAAAAACAAAGATCATCCTCAGACTTCAAAAGAAAATGAAAAACTCCAGGTGATGATATAACCACACATGCAGATACCATAAAATACAGAAAGTTTAAATATTTGTATTAAGGTAACACAGATGTTATATGAATTCAGTATAATTTGGTAATTTCCAAAATACAAGCCCATTGAATCATTTTTTAAATAACAGATCAAGAACGTTCCTTCTACCGATGAAATGAAATGGAAGCTGATGAGGACACTGCCTCACAGACTGCGTCTGTGTCAGAGGACTGACAGGTATCCTGTGTGCAGGTTACTTTGTGTGTTTGTTAAGATCAGACCCGCCCGCTGATGAAAGAGCTCTGGACTCGTTTGTGTTTGCAGAGAGGTCCATATGGTGCACGAGCTGCTGACCATGATGTCGAATGCAGTGCAACGCTACAAGAGAAAGATCCACCTGAGGAACTTGTACTCTGAGGAGAGTGTGTGGAGATCGTACATCAACTGTTGTGTGGCTCAGGCGCACTTAGCCCTTCTTTTTCAGGACCTTGACCAGATGCCTGGAGGATCCACGCAGCAAAGGTTCATCAAACAAAAAATAATAATAGTAACATACATTTTTTATTCATAATTAGTCACTYTTTTTAGTTGGTTGTGAATGTTTTTCTTTTTTTAATCTTTTTTTTTATGGTTTGCTCAGATACAGCCAGTTTGACCCCTTCTGGTTTTCTCTGGCCCACTCTGGTGTCCTGATGAAGAGGGCCTCTCAGTCACAGTCCTCTTCTGTACACAATGCAGCCTCAGGGGGGGCCTCGTGTGATTCCCAGCAAAGAGAAGATCAGCAAAGAGGTTAAGGCCCTGTCACAATATAACGTAGACAACTTGTCSAACACCACAAATGTATACACTGAAGATCAACCAAAACCCTCTTTTGGATATATAAATACTGTAGTTCTAATGGTTAGATCACCTACATGAGTCATTTAGTCATAACAAAACATTCATAAATCTGCATAAGTTGTCCATAGTGTGATTAAGGAAGATAAATGATATAACTACCGTAGGTTTGTTTCTTTATTTCTTGTCTGATGCTTTCTTTTCCTAGCGGTCAGAAGTGACGACTCTACCAAGGAATCCTATAAGGAGGAAGAGCAAACAGAGACGCGGAGATTTGATTCAGCTTCTCTTCTGGACTCCGTCCGAAAAGCTGCTTTATGTCTTCGCAGAGCCATGGTGAAGATACTTCAAAACGACAAGCTCTTACATGTGTGCTACGTTGTCTGTCTGTATTTGTTTTATTTGTTCAGGTGCTGGCCCATCGTGGACACCACTGGACACTTCTGCAGCATGTGTGTCACATTGTGTGGGACCAGAATCACAGGATCACTACAGTGATACAGCGAGCTGCTCAGTCTGAAACTCCTCCTCCTGTCTCAAGCAACCAGCTGAGCGCCCTCTTCACTCCTCTTCTMGTGCTGGCTGCTGATGTCATCATYGACATGATGAGGAAACTACAGGTTGGGGTTACACTCTGCTCTTTACACACAAGTATATGTTGATTCAGTTCTCACACATTATTCCTAAATTGATAAATTAAAGAGGACATATGCAAAATCCAGTGGACCAATCTGCAAGCGCCTCGTTTGGATTTAAAGAGACAYCATCAAAACGAGTTGATCTGAGACACGCCTCAAAAAAGCGYTGAAAGAAGGGCTTGTGGATTTACAATAAGGAGGAATTCAGACCAAAGCATTGCAGTTCCACTTTTTCATAAACCTSAACTGAATGATTTACTGTAAATGTGAAAAAGYGTTTAAAAGTGTCRCCTTTTTTCATGCTTTAGTGGCGTTCTTGCCCAGGATACCTTGWTTATGTTGCATCTCATGATTTGAGTGAATGACACTTTTGTGTCCTTCTCTTCTGATTTCTCTCCTGTCAGCCTTGGAGTTTATATGACGCTGATCTGACTTGGGAGGAACTGGAGTCCAGTCTTCACTACTCCGCCTCAATAGATGACTGCACGCAGGTCGACCTGCGCTGGGTTCGCACGTTGGTGTTGCACACTCTGGAGCTGCTTCATGATGGCGGCAAATGGGAAAGCCTGGCCCACTTTGCCTTACTTTTCAACTCATACACTCGGTGAATTCAACACGAAGCTTGAAAAGCGACAGGGAGGGTTAGAGATGATTAAGTCAATCTTTGTTAGGGTTTCATTTGTCACAGTGAAGAAACAAAGCCAGTGAAATGATATGAAAGGTCTTGTGGAACAATCATTTAATTGGGAAATCAAAGTCGTTTGACTTTTTGTGACCTCAGCTTATGACCTGGTTCTCCCCTCTACARGTCTGTTTCAGGGAACGTTATTCTTTGATCATAACTCCTCTGCTGGTTAAAGCTCAGAGGAAGTTGCTTGAAAGAATTAGTTCTTTGGAAGGACCTGAAGTCCCTCAGCCGCACCATGTCAYGACAGAGAAACACACTGGTGAAGAAGTAAGGCATGACATCCAGCAATGTGACCACAATGTTTTAAACTGCAGTGTTGTCAAGGTTTATAGATTGCAAAACAAAAACTAACCATGTAATTTATCTTTTTTTTTTTTTTGGCAATTCCACGCATTATGACAGCTGTTTGGTGAGAAAATAAATGAGCTAATTWTAACTAAAAGGTTTATTTTCTTAAAAGCCTGCAGAGGGCCACAGACTCTMTACAATAATTAGTTTACCAGTCTGRATSCGTGCATTGTGCTGTACTGTAAGTTTGTGCGTGCTGTCGTCTTTTACATTTTTCAGATAAATTGCAGAAGTTACGCAGGCTGCCAGCTGCTCAGTGGGTGGACTCCTCACTCTGCAAAAGAGGCCGCACAAACAAACTCCACTCGTAAACACGCAAAATCACTCAAAGGTTAGAACACAAAAACTYCTTCAGATTAGTAAAWCCAGATGAACTTAGCARYAAAAGTAAAGGACATTTCYTTTTGTTTGTAAGATTTGTGAAAGCCAAGAAAATWTACAGATGCTTTTTATTCATTATTTTCAATCAAATTTGCAGRTTCATTTAGTTAAGTTGTCAGAGTTCAGCGCTTCATCTTCCCAAATATAACACCAGAAGAGGTCAGTTTTCTGTCCAATACAGACAAGCTAAATGCTGCAATGACTTTTCCCACTTAGCAAAGGCGGGGCTTCTGTGTAAGAGTTRAAAACTTATCTAAAACTGCACTTGAGTATAGAGTTGTGATTGTGACTTTCATCATTATTACGAATTCTATTCAAATTCACARTGATATTTTTTAAGATGTTTTTATTGGGTTTTTTTATGATTGCGTTTCATAATTTTATGACCAGCCAATTAAAGATTTTACTTTTATTTWATTTAATTTTACTTGTTTTAAGCCCCCTGGGCTTTTGCACCTTCCTGCACTATCATCTTTTTTTAATCTGTATTTTTATTTTGCAAATAAAACTAAACAAAAATMAATGCTTGGTGGATTATATCTTTCTTGTAACAATGCTTCTTTGCAATAAATCTTATACTGTTGGAAAGCCTGTTAGTTTCCCTTTTAAATGGTGCCAAATTTGTAAGGAACATGCATTTGTGGGACGAGCAGTAGAGCTGAGTGGGTTGCACAAATGAAAAATTGTCTTCTTGCCAAACAGCTTATTCTGCTGTTGGTATTGACACTTTTTGAGCTTCTGGTGCCCCCACGTATTGCCAGTCAGGCGCTGGTATAAGATTTATCACCAAGAAGCATTGTTACAATAAAGAAATAATCTACCAAACATTTATTTCCTTTACTTTTTGTGCTAAATATTTTAGAACATTGGTAACAAATAGAAACAAACCTAAAAAAAATATAAAAAGACAAAGTTGGATTTGGACAAAATGTTGTTGTGAATCAAAAAAATGATACAAGTGTGAAAGGATTGTATGTTTAAAGTGTAAATGTTCTGTATTTAGCTTTTAGGAAATCAGAGCAGCAGCTCTCCATGATGCTGGTTTGTGTTCCTCTCGACGTGGATGACACGCTGACATGTTATCGTCAAGTCCTCAAGAAAACTCCACGGTGTCTTCAAGTCTACCAGCACAGTAACCTGTTACTGATGCAGTTTCTAGCACACACACAACCCTGTGAGTTTTCTGCGTATTGATTAGATGCACACACACATTCATAGACAACAACTGGTAACACTCTGCTGCTCATTCCCATATTTAGGCTTTGCAGTACGGCTGCTACGCTGTCAGAGCAGAGGTCTCACCTGTGAGGCAAGCCAGGTGAGCTCCAGCCCTGCTGTTATGAGGATACCAAAGAGCTTACCTTCTCTACATGAGGACTTTAGTGCTCCAGATGCAATCTATAGCCTTCCGATCAGCCCTGACTACGTGTCGACTGTTGCTGCTGCTTTGTCCAACTCCAGCCGTAAGAATCTAAAATCCTTACAAACCACTTTTCCTGTATTTCTTTTACATAAACTGGTGAAGTACGATGAAGGTATAATTGCCACAACTAAACCTGGGTTTCAAATAGAGAAGCTTAATGAAATGACTAATGTGAGGTCTTAATTTTTTTTATTTTCAGAGTMTCTCAAGGGGAACGGTCATGACTCACTCAGAGCTCTGACTCTACATGAAATGGGAAACCTACAGTTGTACACTGGAAACAGACGGTTAGAAATTTGTTTTCCAAGTTTTCACCTATACAGTATGTGTTGAAGTTAGACGACAGCCCTTTGTACTTGGAGCAAAACGTAAATTGAGCTTGCCATCTTTTCCCATTCACTCTTAGAGTAATTTCTGTCGTCCTTGTGTCGTTTCATTTATAGCGCTGCACACTCGTCCTGGAGCAAAGCTGTTGATTGTATCTTCCAGAGCACAGGTGTTGCAAAGAAATGGGATGGTGTGTATTTCACATGTGACTCCTTGCGGAAAACTGTAAAACAAGCAGGTGTTTGGGGATGTTTACAGGCTGCTGTGCTCACAGCAAAACAAGCACGGTAAGTTTTTATTTGTGTGTGAGTGTGTGAGTGTGTTGTAAATTGATCTGATCCTGAGACACATTCTTTTATTTCCAGATACATTTTTACTTCTGATGTCAGTCAGAAGACCAAGACTTGTCTGCTGTCTGCTCATCTTTTTAAGGTATTGTGTATATTTTAAAGGATGCTAATGATTTTTGAGAAGAGTGTCTCTGCAGTCGTTAAGTGGGAGTTTTTTTTTTGGTGTGTGGGTGGAGTTCGTCAAAGACAAACAGGTAATAGTTTGTACAAATAAATGATGTAAAATTTGAACTCTGTGATATTGTATGTGGTGTGCCTCAGGGTTCCGTGCTTGGCCCAAAATTATTAATTTTATATATAAATGATTTGGTAAAAGTATCAGGGTTTTTCAAGTGTGTTTTGTTTGCAGATGATACTAATTTCTTTTGTTTGGTAAAAGATATAGAACGGATGCTAAAGATGATGCAGACAGAATTTATGAAGATACAAAATTGTTTTCAACTGAATAAATTATCATTAAATCTGGATATAATGAATTACATGATATTTAGTCATAAAAAGAAAAGTGTTGAAGTTCCATTTAGAGTCAACGGTGTTGATATCTGTAGAGTCAGTGAAGGGAAGTTTTTGGGAGTCATCATTGATGAAAAGATGACATGGAGACCTTGTGAATTATTTAAGAAAAAAGTAGCTAAATCTATTGCATTACTATATAAAGTAAGGGCGTTGTTTAATGATCAAGCTTTGTGTATGTTGTATAATGTAATGATTGTTCCACATTTGGTTTACTGTGTTGAAGTCTGAGGGAAAGAGTATAAACAATTAGAAATCGTGTTTTTATTTTGCAGAAAAGAGCTATAAGAATTATCACAAAAAACCGTTATGATTACCCATCAAACACATTATTTTGTCAGATGAAAATGTTGAAATTCTAAGAGTTGGTTGATTACAACATTTTGCAGATTATGTGTAAGGCTCATAAAAATATATTACCTTTGAACATACTATCGAGTTTTGTTAAGAGAGAGAGTTACTACAATTTAAAAGGGACATAGGTGTTTGTGAAACCTAAAATCCGAACTAGTTTGAAGGAACGATGTAATTCAGTGCAAGGAATAAAATTGTAGAATAATCTGGAGAATGATATCAAAAGTGCAGGATCAATGTATAAGTTTAGGAGAATGGTAAAATCCTGTCTGTCGAAGAAATATGAAATGACATATGTATCCTTAAAAATTGTTTGAGAAAGGTTTGATTTTTATTAATTTTTTTCAGTTTTTTATTATTGTTTGAATTTCTTTTGATGGAAAAAGGCGCAGATCTTACAAGATTTTTTTCTTCCTTCTGCTGCCTTTCATTTTATTTTATTAGTCATTTTATTTTTTTTTGTATATTGAATTTGCTTTGTTTTTAAATTAAATGAATGAATAAACTAAACTAAACTAAAAAAAGACGATTGGTCAATTTGACTTTGGTGGAAGGAAGCTAAGTGGCTAAGCATAACGGGCAAGAATCTAGATTTACCATTACTGTACATGTTGGCAACATAGTAAAAAAAAGTACTGATGATGTAGAAATCAGAAATAACTATAATAATAATAATATGAAGATTTTAGAGTGTATTTAATCTATCCAATGTTTAAATAATGCCAGAAAGCTGTGTACGTTATGGATTTTACCATCAAAAGAGAAGCAGGAAAATGTCTCATTTCACAACACAAGTAAGCAGATGCTTAGGACAAACTCCGCCCACACCCCAAGAAACTCTTCTTTGTTACAAAATGTATAATGATGTTTTATGACTGTGTGATGCATATTTTATTTTGTATCTGTCTCCATTCTGGTATGATGAATTTCTTCAGTGTGTGCTGTGTTGCACGGCTCAGCCGCAGTCCGACCTGCAGTATGCCTCCCACAGCATCGAGGATGAGCTGCTCCCTGGAGTCGACCTTTTCGCTGAGCCACGCAGGCTTAAATTCGGCGACACTGTAGCAAGTCTCAACTTTATTTGCCACTGGCTCTTCTCCGCAGGCTACTACATCACGGTACACACTAACCACCTGGTTTTCTTCAGTATATWCTGTATGTTTTAATTCTTAGGGTGGAAAACTGAGGCAGTATTTGTGTTTGCCGTTTCAGCTTCTGCCCATTTTGACCCTTTACGTGTATTTAGTTGCACATGTGGGCCGAGATGTGCGGCGCACTGTTGAAGGCAAATTCCTTAAGGTAATTCCTCCGCTGTACTAACTAGTCTTATTTATTATTTCCTAATATATCTAATGTGGTTGTTTTTCTGCAGGTACGCACTCTGACTGAACTGTGTTTGTTCACTGAAGCTATAACAGAAACAGTTCAGCTCACTCAGGGAACAGGTGTCATTCTGCCTTCTGGTCACTTGCTTAATACAAATCCCCAGGTACATTTTATGTGTGTTTTTTACACCTCTACTGCCTTCCTAACTTTGGATTTAGGTTTATGTTGCTGTAAGTTTGTGTTTTTGTGTATGTGTCACATTTTCAGATTGACATGTTTACCAGCACACACTGCATTAGACTGCACACAAAAATGTGTTTATATGTGTCCTAAATTTAACTGGTGTGCTTTTAAAACAGCATGTGAAGACTTTCCACAGTAACCAGCCTCTTCTGGATAATTTGGAGGTACTTTCTTTCTAGTTTTTCAGCATGCTGCTTCTAATCAGTCAAATCTACTCAAATTAATGCAGAAATGGGCAGAAAATACATTCATTGTCTGCTTCATCTGCTTTTCTTTCAGCTTTTAAACATTAGATTTTGCTAAAATGATTCAGAAAGCTCAGCTATGGGCAGCTTAAATGATAGAAGGGGGCCGGTAACTTAACATATTTCATGCTTAAATGCATGTAACAATCGTATTCATTTAATAAATATGAATAAAAAGGTTTAAAGCAAACAAAAAATAAACACTTACTTTAGTTAGCTGAAGTGCAACAGCATAAGATGGCTTGAGTTCAGACTCCTGCATGGTTGTGGTTCTGGTAAAAAGTCGGTGAGTTTATGTTCTTGCGACTTCAGGAAACTTATATTTAGCTTTGTGCAACGTGTTGTAGTGGCGACTTAAATATATTAAAATCTAAGACCTGCATTTTTAATAAATAAAAAGAATGTTGATGGGCCTGACAGAGGTCACCCGCTGTCCAGATGTGGCCCATAGGCCACCAGTTGCCCATCCCGTGATCGCTGCACGTTTTTCTCTAAATTTGTCTTGTGAGTGTTAACAGCTGGATTTGTTTGTTTTTGTTATTAGGGTTTGGAAAACCTGAGCTGTGACTTTACACCTCGTGTTCGCTCGCTGTATGGCTCCACGCTGTTCATCAAAATCACCCTCGCTCGGGTTCAACTAATCCTGGCGCTCGCTGGCACGGTTCACGGCCATCCTGTGCCAGGTCTCCATACAAGACTTCCTGTTCTTTATTTATAATGGTTGTCATGTTTCAATAAGGTGATATTTCAGTTTAAAGTATGAACCAAATAGGAACATCAGGGCAGGACATACTATATTCTAAATGTTTACACTCACTGAAATTAACATGAAGTGAAAATGTTGTTCTTATTTTGAAAAAAAAAAAAAAAACAACTTGTGCCACCATGACGGACTGTGCAGTGAATTCAGAACACCTTGGAGAGGAAGAACTGGATGAAAAAGACTCATGTGAAAAATCAGAGGAGCTAAAACAGGAAACTATGTCTCCTGAAAATATGAAGGTGAGACTAAGAGGAGGTTTTAGTTGTTTTAGTTTAATGATTTGTATTTTACTTAATAAGAACTCTCTACAGCTTATGTGCACTACAATAAATCAGTAATAACAGTAATTAGAGTAAGTTATTCTTCTTTTTGCCTCATTTCACTTATGTGAATTTTCATAAATCTTTAAATTATGAATAAATTTGGGATAAATTTAACAGAATTTATTTTTTAATGAGATTTTTCCAGTAAACCTACTTGTTCTGTCCACTTTTCTTTTGTATTAACATTATTGTCATACAAGTTGTTTCAAAAAATAAATAAATAAAAATCTGATTCCACTTCATTGATGAAAACTTCTATCATGAAAAGTAAACAGTTCTAATTAGAACTGCAGCACAACAGATCAGCTCATAATGCTACAAATTAAAAATAAGAATGTGTTTGCATTATGGCCTAACTGTGAACAAGCTTTGCAAAGTTCAGATAAAGGAAATTACTTCTTTGTTATTGTGAAGTTTCCTTGGCACTTTATCTATATTTACCTATAATATTTTGTGTGTGTATGTATTTTTTTTCTATCACAGTTTATTTTACTGGAAGTAGCATCCTCATTGCTGTTCTCTGCGATGGACCAGCTGAAGACTCATTCCTGTACTAAAGCTGAGAATCTAGAACTGACTCTAGAATCCAGACTTCTCGGAGCCAATCTCCACCTGCAGGAAAGAAATGTTGTACTTAGGTACCAAAACTTTGAACTTATGTGGATATATTTAGTATTTGTATAAGCAAGCTACAATAAATTATTATTAAATGCTCTGTTTTAGCGTTAAGGTTGCGTTTTCAACTTTGAAGCTGCTGCAGACTTTACCTGTCCTTGAAGATGAACTTGAGGCTGTAAGTAAAGTGATGCTGTAGCAGTATGTGTGTCGTTTATTATTTAATATTAGAATAATTTAATATCATTAATCAGAAATCATTTCCTACTTAAAATATCCACATTATTATGACTTCAGCTCCCTGCTGTCACAGTCTGTGTGATTTTTGTACTTTGTGCATGTTTGTATTTGTCCATGTGGTCCAAACGATACTAAGGACTTTCCCATAGCTGTTGAGGCTAGAGAGAGGATCAGTGTTTATATGTGGCTGCGCTGCCGCTTGACCCTGGCTCAAATTCTGGTTGGCAACATCCACGAAGCTGCTGCTTTGTTTCCAGGTTTGGATAGTTTCTCCTTTTAACTCAGCATGTGTGGTTAATTCTTTCAGGCTATTGTAATATTACAAGAAATACAATCATCTGGACTTATTATTATCAATCTTTTCCTACTTCCAAAACTATCACTGGATTTATTCTTGAAAAATCAGAAGTTATTAACTTTTCATGATACTGTTTTCAGAAAAGTAAAAGTGTAAATTTCAGTCTCGTCCATGGAAGAATAATATTTTTATGACCGTCTAATTTGTGTTTGCACGTTTGAAGGTAAGAACATAAACGAGGAAGCGGCTATGGTGGTGCAGGATGGTGTGGAAGAATGTGTCAGATGGGGWGACAGTGACTTTCAAGCCCTGTTGATGCTGGAGGGAGCAGAACTGGAAGCAAAGAGAGGCAGGACAGACGACAGCCTGCCAATGCTGCAGGTACAAACACACACCAGCAGTCTTTTATGTTTTGATTTATGCTCAAATAAAAACACAAAAAGAAGGAAAAGCTCATTTATCAAAGTAATTTGGGTCCATAATGCTTTTGGATTTAGGATCAATAAACAGCATCCCTCTAGACAGTTGATTTGAATTTTCTCTCAACCTTTATTTATTTGTGGACATAATTTCACTCTGGCATTTCTCTTTGAAGAAGCTTTTATTAATCTTTGCCATGATTGAGTTTTTCATATTTCAGGATGGAAATGTTTAATAAGTGAAGTATATTCTATGACTTTTATTTGTAAATGAAACATGATTTTAATGGGGGGTTTTTTTCTCAGTGAAACAGATCGGGAGCATCTTATAAATAATTTTAATACTTTTGTTCAAAACTCAAATGATTGCAAGATGAATAAAGATAAATTTATTTTAGCTGGATTCTCTTTATTCTGGATTCAGTCCTGAAACACTTCAGCTCACATTATGAACCAGACCGTGATCAGAGCCATGTTGTTTTCTCATCTTTTTGTTTTTACGGCTCTGGTTTCAGAAATCATGCCCATTAATAAGAGTCCAGTGGCCAAGTTAGTTCATCAAGTTTAATCTTTTGCAGCTGCCACAAGTGATATTGAGTCTTCAATAAAACTTTTAAGCCAATAAAATGAAGTGGGACAGAAGCATCATATCTCATAGAATCTGACTACAAGTAAAGAATTAGACAGTTCTTATACACTTAAAAAAACTGCAGCAAAAAACTTTATCTGTGTTGGACTTTTTTAGGAAAAGATTCTAGGGTCAAATCTAAAATTATTTTGTGTTTTATTTAAATAAGTTTTTTTCATTTAGGTAATATTATTTTTAAATTGTGTTTTTAGGTTTCTGTCTATTTAGAAAATGTTTATTTTATTTTATTTTTTTCAGTAAGTGATTGTTTTACGAGTTCCCACTAATCCAGGCTGAATAGTCACTGAATTGTTTTTGCTGTATTTGTTTTGTCTGCACAGAGAGTTGTGAGCCTCCTGACAGGACGGACCCACATGCCACCCGTGTCCTTTGTGACTCTGTCTCGAGCAGTTTTGTTGAGCAGTGACCTAAGAGGAGCGGAGAGTATCACACTTCTCCAGCTCACACAGAAACTCCTCAAACAACAGGTTTGCCAACAAATTACATAATTACCTTAATTCTTTAAACAAACACCAGCTAAAGAAGGCAAAGAATTAACAGTTTTGCTAATGAACTTGTTTTACCTCTTTCAGCTGCGTGTTTTCAATCAAACTGTGACTTCTGTTGATGGAAGGATCTCTCCTGAATCCATCAACATCTACCTCCCTTACCTTGACATGCTGAACAAGATTAATCTGCAGATTGGTAAACTATCAACCACATAACACACAAAATAACAATTTCTYCTTTGCTAGCAGATTTCTGTTACAGACGCTCCAAGAGAAATCTTGCAAATTATATTGAAGGACTGGTCATCAGTTCCTGGTCAAATGCTAAAAAGAGTAGAGCRTATTTTAAATGGGGGGTATTATGCAAAATCTACTTTTAATGGCATTCCCTCATCGAAACATATCCAGGGTGTTGCTTAGATTCATTCATGCATGTTTGAGAAATGCTTGAATCTCCTGTGGAGCCACGTAGAGCTGCCTAAACACCTGCTGGTGCAAAGCACCTCCTATTTGTACAAAGCTCCTCCCTGGAGCTCAGTCTGCAGCTGAGCTCCTGCCCCAGAGATAACCCCTCACCATGAAGCATTGTTGTGAAGACATGCTGAAGTGGGAGTGTCAGAAACAGTAGGGGGTCCTTAAAGAGACAGAGGCCAATTTCAAGGTGTTTACATACGGTACACTATGATGTAAAATCTATTTAATTTTTTATATTTACGGCTTTTTAAATAATAACTAAAGATGACATATTTACTTGGTTGTGGTATAGAATACTTTGTCTGGAAAATACATAATATCCCCCTTTATATTTTGGAAATTTGACATAGTACACATAATTTTACCCATTTTGTCACATAACTGACACATTTTCTTTTGAACTTGGCTCGGCCAAAGTCAATCAAGAAGTGACATCAAAGGGGAACTCTTTAAGATAGAAAACTCGCTGGTCTTTGTTTATCGAAACAGTATTATTTGAACTCTTAACTCTTCATCTCTCTCTGATAGAGACTCAAAATAATCTGAAGAAACATCAGATCCTTTACGGTCTGTGTTGTCGGCCATTTTAGAAATGCTCTGTTCACATGCATCATCACATCACTTCCTATTATTTCACATGCAAATATCTCAACAACTTTTTAGTGGTGTGTTGTTGTTTGTTTTTTTTTTTTTTGTAATGAAATGTACACATCAGAGAAGCTTTTCGGAAAAATGTTAAAATTCTCTCCCAAATGTTTCTTTTGTCAGAAAATGTATTTCTCTGCTTAAAACTATTTGTTGTTGATCCAAACAAACTCATTACTCAGTGACTGTGTTTCTATATCAGTATTTCTTMTAGCCATTTGTCTTTGCAGATTCCACCCTAAAACTTGAAAACAAGGGAAGACCAGTTTCTGGTGGATCATCTCAGTCCACCAGCAGAGCCAGACTGGACGAATCCTTTCTTTGAAGAATTCAACCACTTCCAGTTCAAAGTGATGTGATTCATTTAGGATAGCTGTGTCAATGTCACTTTGAAAAGCTGATGATTTTGTGTGTGTGTTGTTAAGTAGAGCAATATTGTAAACAAACTTATATAGTAGTTCATTGCCAACTTTTTTTTAGTATTTACATGTTATTCTAAAACTGTTCAGATGTTCTGAGAAAAAGATATGAAAAAACAGTGGTTACACTTAGAGCATACTTTGGTTATCTTTATTTGAAGAACTGGTGTTCTTAATATTTTTTGTAATTGATTCTGTATTCTCTGCAATGTACAAGGACAATTTGGTCACTAGAATGCAGGTGAAAGATGATCACAAAGTTTGGGTTTTTCTTTAAAACAAGATTGAGGCATTGTTTTTATTTATTTATTGCCGATCTGTTATTGCCTACTGTCAAAACCGTAAGCTATATACATGAAAACAATTTAGAAATATATATAATTAGAATAGCTAGTTAATTGGATCCCGGAAGTGTTGGTTAAATGTCTTATTTTGAAACCGGAAGTTTAGCATTACTGTCTTAAAACAACTTGAGAGTAGCAGACTGAGCCGGAGACTCAACATTTCTTTTTTTAAATGTTTTTTAATACAGTTTGTTGTTCTTCTCTTTATTGTTCTTATTGCCTTAAGTGAATGCAAAAACAATGTAAACGTATTGCGCATTGTTTTCAATTTTAAAAAAACGACAACAACTCGAGCAGACTCATAACTCTGGCTTTTGTTGACGTCTGCCGGATAACAGCAGCAGTTCGTACCCGGGTTTGTCCGCCTATTGTTCAGGTTGCAGGTGTTACAGCTAGCCGGAAAGCTGTCCTAAATGGGGGTTCGAGTTAAAAGATGATCGCTTCACTCTCAAGAGGAAGTTCGCTCGATGAGGTTCTCCATCATGGCAGCGACAATGAGGTAACCCACACTTCACTAATTGCTGGTAAAGTTTGGTCCAGGTTCAGAACGGAACGGAACGGTAGGCAGGTAAATTTACTAACAAATATACGTCTACCAGCTGGATTAAAGATTTTTACAACTTTACAAACAGAATTACAGCAGTTTCTAGTGGTGTAGCTTCAGCTCGTGCTCTTTAGTGAATTGAATTGTGGCAATGAACGAGTTTATTCAGGCTTTAATGACGCTGTCAGGATATYAGTTTAAATTATTTCTTCGTTGTGATACCGCCACAGGAAGCGAAACGAGACATTTTTTTTCTCTGTTTGCAAAATGTGTGCAGTCTTTGTGGCGTTTCCTGGACGACGGGGCGGTCACGTGACCCAGCAGTAACAGGAGCTGATTAAACAGGGATAATAAAACTCTGAAATGCGCACGAAATTAATGAGATGAACCCTGGCAAATGTAGAATTCTCAACAGAATTTTGGACAATAGGCTGACCC